TGAGTTTCTTTTCCTCCCATCCGCATCCCGGTGTGAACCAAATAACCCATTGCAAATGAGCCCCGGTGCACTCATACAGGATGGAGGCTCCGTCACTCTCCCAGTCTTCAAGCAACATGGAAGACTTTGGCTTACCTGCAGAGGCAGCTCTCGGTGGCTCTACAGCTACTGTCTCTCCTACACCACCAGGTTAGACACCCTAGAGCAGCTCTGCTACTCTAGCAACAACTCTCCTGCTTCCTGCCCCAAGCACCACATCCTACCCACCCCAACACACCGTCCTGCCTCACCGCCCGCTGGCCCAGCAGTACCCTTAAAAACTCGAACTACACACAGGTATATACGGTAAATAAGGACATGGGGGGCCTGGGGTTTTTTAGGGGGCAGCAAAAGTACACGGATTTTTAACATTCACGGGTATCTCTGTTACCTAACCCCCGCTTATGTTAAGGGCCGACTGTACATCCAATACAACATGTATACAGAGAGCACATTGTGAGTTTCCTTTCTCCATCCCATCCTGAGTGTGAACCCAAACATCCCATACCCAACAAATGGTGACCCCCGGAGATTCGCACTCACACAGGATGGAGGAGAAACCGATCACTCTCCCAGTCTTCAAGCAACATGGAAGACTGGCTTATCCACCCAGAAGCAGCTCTCATCGGCTCTACAGCTACTGTGTCTAAACCGCAGGCTAGACACCCTAGAGCAGTACTGCTTCTCTAAGCAGACACCAGCTCCTCTTCCTGCCCCAAGCACCACGTCCTACCGACCCCAGCACACCTGTCCTGCCTCAGACGCCGCCCCCGGCCCAGCAGTACCCCCTGCCGCTTCTCCTGATGCAGTCCCTGCTCCCGACGCGGCCCATGCGCCTGAGTGCGGACCCACACACCCCTCTTTTCTCCCTCAGGTACTCCCTGCTACTGTCCTGCACCCTGCTGCTGTCGTGGATCCAGCTGCTGTCACGAGCCCTCATCCGCTTCTGCTGACGCAGCCCCTGCTCCTGACCCAGGCCCACACACCCCAGCAGGCGCATCTGACGACTCTGTACCTGCCGTGAGGGAAGCACAACATTCATCGCCTCCACACACCCTTTTTCTCCCTCTCTACTCCCACAGATATTGTGTATCTAGACATTTGTCTCCTCTAGCGGCCCGCTCATCCACGCCCTCGCCGTTCTTGCTCACATGTGGCATGCACTGCCTGGAGGGAAGGGGGTAGTATTGTAGTGGATTTCTCCCCTACAAACGCTGTTTGTCGCTGAGTAGCCGACCCCACGAATTCCCCAGTGTATGCCTCGTGGTCTGGGTCAACCAGCGCCGCCATACATCACGGAGGTCAACTGCTAAGCCACGCCTACCCCCACAATAAAAGACCTGACCTCGTGGTGACCTATCTCTCTTTCTACCTACACCAACCAGCCAGCAAGCTACATCCCTCCTCCTCCTCCGCCGCCTGACGGCCCTCGCTCCCGCCAGCGAGCATGGCGGCCCTCGCTCCCGCCGGCGAGCATGGTGACCCACAAGCTGTCCTCCTCTGAGCATCCTCACCAACCAGCTCTCTCTACATCACGCTTGTAACCACGCTTCCACTTCCTAACACCAAGCTGCATTGTACATCCAATACAACATGTATACAGAGAGCACATTGTGAGTTTCCTTTCTCCATCCCATCCTGAGTGTGAACCCAAACAACTCATACCCCACAACATCTTCAGAGGCCTCTGAAGATGTCTTGAATATATATATATAAAAAAAAAAAAAATATATATATATATATATATATATATATATATATATATATATATATATATATATATATATATATATATATATATATATATATATATATATCTTGATAAAATCACACGGGAAAATGGAAACAACGGAGTACCTTAGCTTTCGTCTTTATTCAAGACATCCTCATCTTCGCCCCATTTACCGCAGCTACA